AATAACGTTATAAATGCTGGAAAAGGGTTAGACCTAAAGCCCTAATTAAAAAGTAAATTAAGTTTAAAGTTATAAACTGATTGATATGAAGCGTTTTTTAGAATTCACTAAATCATACCTAATTTGTACAATCATTGAGAAATGTAATGAAAAACCAAACAGCAGTTTTGAAAGACCTCGTTTAAAATCTAAAATGCAAACTAAAATTCTTCAAAACTAGAATTTGAAATTCAAACTATCAAAACGAAACTGACCTGTTTGGCTGATGGAGTCATACCGGTTTGTACGACAATAATTGCCCGTGTTATCGCCTGCTCTTGCATTTGCTGACAAATAGCCTAAAATGAAGTGGTGAAGTATGGAGCGGAGAAAATGTGCGAAGAAATATGAAAAAGAAGGGATGGTGTAGCCTCAGCAAAAAAGCCCGATCTTAAAAATTTACTTTAAAGCAAGAAACAAAAAATTACTAACCTTAATTGTTTTGATCCCGATTTTAGAATCTTCCGGGAAAAACACGAACATCTGGTCCGTCGGGTCATCGTTATGCGCTACCAAAACAGTTAATTCATTACGTGATGGATGTCGTTCGCTTGGTTTATCACCAAAAGTCTCCTTAAAATTTTCTAACGTTTGATCCAATTCTTCCTGAGTTACCAAATATCCACGATCATGACACATCTGCAAAACATAATTGCACCAAATACTCAAAAGATTTCTTCAAAATCTGCTAACTCCTACAAAAACCGTCAAGTATTATAATCAAATTTCAATTTCATTCTAGCGCATCAAAGAATCAGAATTGCTCATATATGAAGCAGGAATATTTAGAAGATATGACTGAACACTCTCTATCGGCCTCTTCTTAATCTGACTTCTTATATGTTTAACTGCGATTAATCGTGTACGGAAACAATCAATCATAAAATCGAACGGAATAAGGTACTGATTTATACCTTTTTGGTTATTTATATACATTTATTACTATCCTGTCATTAACATATACATTTGGCACTACCCTACTATTAATGAACGGCTATCATTTCCGTTATCGCCATCGTTGGTCCTTGCCACTGTTTTGTTAAAGATATACAAAACATGGAGCTGTCACAATTACCATTATCTTATCATAAAACTATTTAATGCAGATATTTTATTAAGCTACAGTCATCAATGTCTCAGTAACAACACACAACTACCGTTATTACCTCATCATTACAAACCTATCAATAATTCTTCCAACAGTACAAAATTATTATAATTTCAAACTCTTAATAGAAACCATACGAAGAGCTTCACTGCTTTTTCCAGCTATCTTTCTTCATACTTAATTAGTCGACAATGCAAAAACACTTATGTTGACCACATACTTCCAATAGTTCTATGCACTTATCACTATTTTATTAGTAATATACATTTATCACTATTATATTTCAACAAGTAGCAGTAAATCACCGTCTTATAATCACCACATGCGATGAAGGAAAACACCATTACCTGCATAATAGTCTTTCGAACTCGCCATAGTTTGTACGTTTCCAATTCATCATCCGCCATTGCTTTGATGAATGCTGAAGTTAGTTTTGTTATTGGAGAGATAATTTTTCAAATTTCCCTTCCTCTCCTAATGCTTCCACAGTGATTAATTAACCGACCGACCAGTGATAAGATCTACAACGTGGCATCTACGGCTATGAAAAACTGTCTGCTAACTCGACTTACCTGCCCACCACCCACTATCTAATAAATACTCAGGACAACAGCCAACTGGCAATCTCATTAATCCATAGATCACAGTTTCGATATGCTACGACGATTGCTTATCAATGGTTGGTTCGGATGAATAAGATTTGGAGGCTCGATTTGAATCGGTGATTGTGATTGGGATTGGAAGATTTAATTCGGTGATTGTGATTAGGATTGAAGAGGAAAGAAACCGGGCTTTTTCGGTAGGAAACAAGGATCGAGCGAATAGTTTTTCTAGAAATTTTTGGACAAAAAAAGTAATACAACATCGGAAGGTAAGATTAATAAGATATTAGATGCAACGTATATATACTGAAGCTAAGAAAAATGTAGAGGGATTATCTAAGTTGCGCAGTTGATGAAATAAAAAAAAGGGAAGAAGAAAGATAATTAGAAATAGCTAGAAAGAAGTGATTATGAAAGAATGAGAAGATGAAAAATTAATTTCTTATTGACGAATATAATTTATAGATTCCACATAAATCTTTGCTATTAATCATTGAAATGAACAATTTTAAAGTTCAAATTAAGAATGATTAGAGAATTTTTTAGTTCCTTCAGAAAATGTGTCAAATATTCGAATCAAATAACCGATTAACGTACTAATTAATGATTCGGAATTGGATTAATGAAATAAAACCGGAAGTAAAACATTTCCTTATCATTTAAGCAATATCATTGATATTCTAAAAGCAACTTCTGATGGATGACAATTTAAAATAATAAAATGATTTTATTGATAAATTTAAATTCAAACAATTACAAAATCAGTTTGCAAAAATTAATTTATACAATTAAAATTGGGAAAAAAGGAAAGGAAAAGTAAAAAAAAAAACAAGTAAGAACGAAAGAGAATGTTATATGAATGCAAGAAATTATTCTCGCTGCAATGCATTTCTGGTTTCTTCCTATTGATGTGCAAATCTTTATATGCAAATTTATGCAAACTAAAGCTAAAACTATGTGGTACTCATTTCTTTTAGCCTAGGGAAATAAAAGAAATGTTAATTAGAAGAACTTAATTTGTATGCAAAAATTTCTCTTTATTTCAGCAGAAACAAACACGTCAATTTATTCATTTTCCAATTCGATTTCTATTTTGAGTAGTTTATTTTAATTTATTTATAATGTGCAAAACAAGGAATGACATTAATTATTGTTGTTGTTATTGCTGCAATAATATCATCGATAACAATTCGAATAATAGAAAGAAACCACTGGTCAGTTCATACTCTACCTTTGCTCTTTATTGAAAGCGCTGATAATTATAATTATAATCAGCTTATTTAACAGCTTTTTCTGTGTTCATAATTAATCTCGCTTGTTATTAACACTTTCCATTTTGTTTCTCTGTATCCAATATTAATCATTTATTAGTTACAGGATATAAATTTGATTCTGGTAATGAGTATTTTACAGCTAAGTAATAGTTTAATTAAAGAAATAACAATTATCGTAATAAAAGTTTTATCATTTCTTAATTAAACACTGAGTTTTATCAATGATTTATATGGTTAAAATTAGTTCCTTTGATATATAAACATTTTTCTTTCTTATAAAAATTGCTGTTTTTGAGAGTGAAGTGGAATTTATAAAGAATTCATCTAATCTAATTTCAATACTAAATTCTTTTCTCGTTTCATTATTCTTTATTAATGATTTCCTTAATTTTTTTTAGCAAGAATTAAGTCATAATAACATTTTATATTATTTGCTGGTGAGAAATTTTTACATATCTTTTCAACTCTTCCTCCTTCATTCCCTTATATCAAATTCATTTTGATAAGTGTTAAATGCAGTATTTTAATTCAATTAATAGTCTCAATAATTTCACTGAAATCTTTTAAAGCCAATAACTGAATATAATTTCATTTCAAATTGCATCTTTGTGCGAAAAATATTTCTAACAAACTTAATTAAAATATGGCATGATTAGTCTGGATTAATAATTAATTAAGCAACATTTCGGTCACTTATGACTAATATTTTCGATTAAACCTTCGCAAAATTCTTTATTGTCAAAGTAATACAATGATATCTTAACTGATAAGACAATATTTCAAGTCAACAGTGAATTTTCCAACTTAATAAATAACACTCTTCAATAAAAATCACTCCAGCAGATTGTTACTAATTGTAAAATATTTCACTTCCATTATGTAATCTGATTCATCCATATAACTTTTTGAACGATTCAGGAGATGTATCGAACTGATAATGTAATATTCTGAACTGATAAGCTAATATTCCCAAAGAAACAAACTGACAATGCAATAAATTAACTTACTATATAAATTATGCAAACATTTTTCTTCGTTTTTCAAGAGAAGAGAAAAACTTTTTTAGTTCGGAAAAAAGTGAGAATTTAGTATTATCAGAGAGTGTCAGTTGGAGATAAGGAAGGATATAATTAACCCATAGGGACCATATTCATTTCTTCTTTTCGCCTTCTCTCTCATTTAACTTCCATTATAGAAGGAGAAAAGAATAAATCTCTTTATTGTGGTTGTCCGAGTAACCAACTCTTCTAGAGATCGAACATAATTCGAAGAACAATTATGATTGCTATTGTTGCCTTGGTAACCTCACAGAAATTATGTTAACCGCAAAAAGGCTTTTATTGACTTCAATTTCATTATTAATGAAATGGTTTAGCAAATTTCCATTTATTTAATCTCAGCTTACCGTAAGCTACAGCTTGTTAATTAAGCTGATACTATACATTTTCCAGCATATCCAAAATTGATCATCCAATGTATATAATACAAATTCAATTAATCTGATTATATTAAAATTGTTCCAGATGAAGCAAATTTTGATTGTTTCAAATTACTTCAATTGTTATTAATTTGAAGTACAATAAACGAATCAAACACAATTTTCATTTACTTATTTCGGCTTATCTTATTTCTCAATTCAGCAGCAAAAATTGAATAGTTTAAGATTTTAATAAAAATTATTTATCGCATAAGATGGATTTTAAAATCTGTCACAAGTGTATTTCACCGTGGTGGTAGTTCTATGAAAATACCTCGTATGAATGCGGTTAATCTAGGATAACTGAAATGGGCACGTGATGCTTGATTCTCAAAAATTATTCTAATAATATTAAAATTTTTTGCTTATTTTGAAAATATGTTTTTGAGTTACATTGAAATTACTTTTTGAATATTTCCTATCCAATAAATTGCAATTTCAGGATTCCAATTAATCAAAGACGACTTTGTTCATCACTACTTTAATATCATTTATCGCTAATGTCAAATGATGAATGGGCCAGTCATAACCTGGCAAAACAGGTGTGCTTAATTTTATCAATTGCATTATACAACTTCTGCTGATTTCTGAGGATGAAAAAAAATTGCCGATACTCAAACTACTCATATTCATAATCATTAATCGATATGCAAAAATAATATTTAATCCAAAAAGTATTGAGAGTTATCGAGAATTTATGAGATCGATTCTTTTGCAAGGCATAGATATTGATGAAAAAGAAAAGAATAAAATTATACTCGTTGTTAAGGAAAAAAAATGGCGCTGCAAGAGATAAGAGATTTTAAAAGGTTAAAAAGAGGGCAAACAAAAAAGGAGAAAATGAGGAAAGGAGTTGGAGAAAGGAATGATTTTGTGGTGAGGCATGAATGATTTTATCAAAGTATACTCATTCAAAGATGAAAAATGCCTTATGCCATATTGTCCTCACTTGGCCTAAGCATTTTTTAGAATTCATTGCTTTGAAATATGAAAAAGATTATTTTATTTTCGTAAATAGTTGTTTTATTTAGTTATAAAGCAAAATTGCAACACTTAATATTCTCTGATGCCGTTAATCAATGCCTGTTTAAGGATTTCAATGATCTCTGAAATTATGATAATCTCAAATCCCTTGTTGTAATAAATAATTATAATATTCGTACGTTGAGAGACCGAATTTTATAATATGTGGTTCTTGTAACACTGATTGCTAGTGATAATTTTGATTAATTATCAGTTATGAATCACCTACATTGGGATTAGAAATTTTAATGTAGTTGCTATAATTGCGATTAGTGTCGTCAAAAATGATGACAATCATGATAATTAATTATGCATTCAATGATCATGAATTTTTGTCGAGATAATTCTTTTCTTTTCGATAAAAATTGATTTCATTGAAATAGACGCAACTATTCTGATATTGAGAAAATACAAATACAACCTGGAATTTTCAAATCTTTTTTTTGTTAAAAATCAACGAACTATCTAGCGATAAAATAATAGGTACATATGCTCTTTACACTTAAGCAGTAAAATTTTCATTTCAAAATAACATTAAGAATGATAAGTTTAAATTCATCTATAAATCTAATTCAAATTTTCTTTCATTTTTCAATTCCCTTTAAAGTTAGTTTCCGTTTTAGGCTGATTGAATTTTTTCGTATCATTTCATTGATATATTACGATTTTCTTCAATATTTTCGTTTTTAATGATTACTTTATTTCAGCACGTCCTTCGTTCGTTTATTTTCGTATCTCAGAAACTTTCTCGGCGAAATTTCGTTTGCTTATATTATGTCTAATGTGTAGTTAGAAATTATCAGAAGAAAATGATCATTAGAAATGATTTTTTTAATGGCCAATTTTTTTGTCTATCATTTTAAATAAAGGAAAGAAAGAGAAAATGAAAAAATTAAAATTTCCTCAAAACTTATTGATATATTTGAAAAAGAAAGAAAAAGAGACTAAATGAGTCAACTTGAAATGGATATAAGAAATGACTAAGAATTATCCAATACATTTCATTATTTCTCTTTTAATGGTTATCAATAATATTTTTGCAGCAAATGAATGAAAAATTTTTCTTCCAAAATTTCATTTATTACAATTACAAAATTAAATTATAAATTAAAGAAATTTTTCTTTTTAAATAAAATAATTAATTTTTATGTAATCTTTGAAAATTTTTCTTTCACTTCTTTTTTTTCATTTATAGAGAAAGTTTATGGAAGAACGACAACGGCAAAAACGCAGACTTTCATCGACTAACATTCGAACTAATGATACATCGATGATGATGATGATAGCAGAAAAGAATTGCATGGTAACGTCTAAAAGTAGTCATAAATTGCATGGTTATAATGGACCATTATGTTTTACATCACCGGAAGATCCGGATCGTATATCACCAACTATAGCTTCGGGATCAACTGTTACAACAATCGTAGCATCACAATATAATGAAAGGTTTAGTTTCTTAAATGATAATTCAAACATTATTTAATTCTCAAAAATTACAGTAATGCGTGATATCAAAAGTTAAAGAACATTTCGATGACCAATTTCACATTTATGCATTTAATTCTTGGGTATTATTTATTCAATTAAAACATTATTCTTTGATATCAAGCAAAGAATTGAAGTTTCACTTTTAGTTATTGTGGTATTTAAGTAATAAACTTGATTAAATTAGCTTGAACAAGAAAAAGAAAAATAAGATAAAAATATTGATAATTGTTTTCATTAATTAACTAATCATTATTAACTACTCTTTTAAGACTATATCTTATTACTTCATTTAACTTTTTAAGGTGTTTTTACGGTTTCAAAATTTTATTAATTGATGTGATATATATATATATATATATATATATTCGTTCCAACGATTTAGCTTAGTTTTACAAAAAATGAAGTTATGAAAATTTGACTGGAATACTATTCATTATATATCGAAGATTACAGAGTACTCTTTATGATTTCTCGTAACATCCATAACACTCTAATCAAGATGCTAAAACTAAAAATAAATAGTCAACTACAGTTCCTCGGAAGATGATTATAATAAATCAACGTACAACTTGTCAACTGCAACATTCGTTCCAAATAGTACAAGTGCAACATTTGAACCAGATGATGAACCGTTGGTAGAACCATGGAAAGATGAAATTGAAGAGAATGTTTTACCATTTAAGTTTATTATTTACATATTTTGATTAATTTTTTTCCTCTCTTTTTCTTTTTATTGATTGAAGCAATAAATAACGGAAAATGTTAAAATTTTTAATTTTTGAAATCATTACGGAAGCTTTTAGTGGCTGAAAATCCGGATATGAACGAAATTATGACAAATTTGGAAATATTTGTATCGTCACCAGCAAGAAGAAATGTCACTTATAAATGTCGTATAACACGAGACAAGAAGGGAGTCGATCGCGGTATTTATCCAACCTATTATCTACATCTTGAAAAGGATGAAGAAAAAAGGGTATGTAAGCATTATATGTACATACATTCAATTGAAAATGAAGTTTATAAATAAATTTTGGAAATATAATAAATTATTAAGATTTAAATATAACAAAATTATTAAGACGTCGTAATTCTATGACCAGAGTTAGCATCAGCTGAAAATCAAAATATTTTACAAAAATTTTTAATATTTTACAAAAATTTTTACCTAAACGGAATACTTTACAATGTTTCCTGATAATTTATTATCGATGATATATGAATAGTTATAACCCAGTGATAACCCGAAAAATATATTACATTTTAATGTAAGAATAATTAATTTATCCAAATGGTTCTATTAAAAAATAAGCTTTCGATGCACAATAATTATGTAATTTAATTATTATTTTTCATATTTGCAAAAATTTATCCTAAAAAAATTTTCATTTTTAAAAATATTAATAATGAGTAATTTATACTCTAAAATTTTCAGATTTTCCTTTTGGCTGCACGAAAAAGAAAAAAAAGTACCACAGCTAATTATTTGATTTCAATTGATCCAACCGATTTGAGACGTTATGGCAATTCTTTCGTCGGAAAAGTCAGGTAAATAGGTATATAAATCCATTTTGAATTTTGAAGATATAAGTTTTGACGTTCCGTGAACTTAGAAATTCGATTTGAATGCTATCAGGAAAGGATTTATATACCGTAAACTCATTAGGAAAATAATACCATCAGAAATGATTTTATAGTATATTTCTTGATGGTAAAACGTTTTGGGATCACATACAACCCAATTTATTGAAGGAAAATATATCAGTTATCAAATTCTTCCTTGCAATAAATCAGTTTTTGCTGATTATATCAAAACACTATATTTATTACAAAATTTACTGTATGAAGTTATTATATCGAAATGTAAGAAATGTTTTAATTTATAAATCAATCATTACTTTATTGCTATCATATTTCATGTAATCGATGAAATATAATATTGAGGAAATTCAAATATTTCTAATGATCTAAATAAGTGCGTCAATATCATAGTATTCAATATAAATAAATATTTTTTCAAAATTCAGATCAAATGCTTTGGGTACACAATTCACATTGTATGACAACGGTGAAAATCCGAAAAAATCATGGGTTATCGGTGATTCCGTAAGACAGGAACTTGGAGCTGTCATTTATGTAAAGATATTTGATTTATTTTAAATTTTTTGGAATCTACTACCTAAATTTTGTACATTTCATTGGAGCTAATTATAAATGCAATATATTTATAAGATTAAGATATAAAATTACGAGAAAGGATTATCTAAAATTTGAAATGGAAAGAAATGAAATAAGAAGAAAACTGAAAAAATTATGAAACATATGGATATGTGTTTTGTGTAAATCAAAATATTTATTTCTGTCGGTTTGCATATCGTTTGAGTTATCAAATTCTATATCACTTTGTAAAAATTTGAATTTTATATTTTAGGATACCAATGTCCTTGGTTTCAAAGGTCCACGTAAAATGACTGTTTTAATACCCGGAATCTGCGATGCTGAAAATTATCGACGTCAAGAAATTCGACCTCTATTAGTAAAGCTTATGTATTGACTAAATTATAAATCTAATCAGAGTTTGAATTTAATTTCGAGAAAATCAGCTTCATCTTTCATTTAGCATCAAAATAAATGAAAATTATTAGTGATTAAAAGTTTTTATTTTTTGCAAAAAGCTTGATTTTTGAGGAACAACAGTCTATTCTTGAGAGGTGGAAAAATCGAAAAGCGGATGATTTGATAGCTATGCATAATAAAAGCCCTGTTTGGAACGAAGGTTTCTTTTTAAAATAATTCCATTAAAATTTTAATTGTTTTATTTTGAAATTAAAACTGAAAATGTTTAATTACCGTTTGGAAATTAAAATTAAAAATGTTTAGCTATTCTTAAACTGAAAATCTTACAGATACCCAATCATACGTTCTTAATTTTCATGGTCGCGTTACTCAACCATCAGTGAAGAATTTTCAAATTATCCATGACGCTGACCGTAAGTAATTCTAGTTTTACTTTCAGAAGCCAACAACTGAAGAAAGATGCATAATTATAAAAATCAAGTAGAAATATGTCGAAATAATTTTGCACGAGATGATCTTAATTGCTATAGCAATTAAGAGCATACATCACTTTTTCTTTATACATATATATTATAATGAAGTTTAACGAATTGATTAGGATATATATCAGTTTCTCTTTCTTTTTTTCTAGCCAAGTATATCGTAATGCAATTTGGTCGAATTGGTTATGATGCATTTACGATGGATTTTCGCTATCCATTATCGGCAATACAAGCATTCGGTATTGCTATGACCAGTTTTCACGGCAAAATCGCCTGTGAATAATTAAACATCAACTGGTTCATTTGTACTTTGATGTTAATGTTTTTCGTGGTTTTATCAATGTATAAAAGTCCAGTGTTTCTATCAGTCCAATAGTGTTACTGTTAACAACTGTCAAAATCACTGATAATAAGAGAATCTTAGTAGTTTCAAACAATTTCATCACCATTAGCTTCAGAAGATAAGACCAGTAGGATAAAACAAATTACGAGAATTGTAAAATTAAAGGAGAAAAAAAGAAATGAAATACTGGGAAAAAATCGTAAGGAATTTCGGAAAATGCTAAGCGAATAAAATAATCCTTCTGTCCATTATATGTAAGAGATGTTGTTGAACGCTACCAGAAAGCGGAAAAGCAAACAGAATTCAAAAGCAATTTGGCAATTCACATTCCCACTATCAACATGATAAAGAGATGAATCAAAGTTAACACGGATAGATAATTCCAGAATGTTCAACTTGCATGCTGCTTATTATCTATTATCATCATTTTGAATGACGCAAATTACTTATCAAGGTTACTTGGCTAGATAGAATTACGTAGACTAGTACATGGTAAAATTGGTTTTGTTCTAATTTTATGATAAAATTTATTCTTGAAAGTTGAATATAATGCAAAATAATTAATCTAATAAATTCTTAGTATTAAATGCAAACTTAAATTAATCATCAAATTTTTTAAAATCAAATCGCAATATTTTGTGATAGCATCAAACAACGCAAATTGCACACTTTCACTTTCTCTCTTCAACAATCCTTCTAAAATTTAGATGAATTGGTTTTTTGGTCACATATGCTCATTAAATCATTTAATAATCAACTCTTTCTTTGATCTTTGGTCCTGCTCAATCGCGATGCAAATATATGACATGACCTCACATAATAATTTCAAGTTTTCATATTGCAACTTAAAGCTATCAATAGCATTTCAAAAATTTCGACACACATATCAATGAGAATTAATACGAAAATCAATAAGTAAATGAGTTGGAATAAAATTTAAGTAGAAGATGGATTTAGACTTTGTGGCTAATACTTCAACAACAGGTGCGTCAAAAAAGGGAAAAAAACCTGTTTAAGAACAAATATATGACTCATTTTGGGCGTTAACAAAATCAATCACGCAAAATTTTACTATTGAAATAATCATAACATTATCATTTTGATAGTCATCATTAGTTGATCTTGTCATCCTAAAATTGTTCACTATTTCTTTCATAGCAAAAATGTTTAAACTGCAATGTGCTATTATTAATTTTAATAAACAATAGTTTTATAACTAATTACTTGCCAATTACTTTTTACGAAATCTCACTCTCTACGGTACTGATTTCAAAAAACAATTGAAGTGTTTATTGTAATAAAGCAATAAGAATTGAAGTAATTAAGGAGTTATTAACATAAGAATGATATCGTTATGAACTTACTCAGCCTTAATTTGCAAATTTCAAGAATCAGGTAGGCAATTAATAAGATAAAAATGAACGATTACCTATTTTGACACTAATTAATCAACGTAAAGTTGTGAAATTTTAATTCAATACCGTTTGTTTTCTTAAAACATTCGCTTTCTTTTGTCTATTAGTTAATTCCGGTTAATTCGACCATTCAAATCAAGCAAGGATGGAATCAATCAAATTAATTAACAAAGACTTAATAAACAACGTTACCCCTCTCCCACTTTTGCTTTCTTTCTCATTTATTTTGTTGTGACACTCTTTGTAATAATTTAACTAATTAACTAATTGCATTCCATCGATATCAAAATTTCCTATATGCTATCTTCTCGATCGAAAAATATATTAGAAATGGGTATTATCTTGAAAAACTTTACATATTTCACCAAAAAAAATCTTTGAGTGATTACTAATTAAACCATATTTTTAATTTGAATAATTTTTATAGAAGAAAAATATGTGCAGAGAAAGTATCTTTTTATGTCTGATCTTTATCATCATGTTTCATCAACAAACAATTGTCATTGGCTTCCGACAACAATCTGTTGGTGTCCGAGGTCGTCTTCTATGTGGCAATGAAAGTTTACCAAATACACAAGTAAAATTATGGGACAAAAATACAATTGGTCAGTTAAAACATATTCATTACTTCGTTATATGCAATTATTATCAAGATTTCCTGAAAGATTTGTTTTGTTTTGAAAAATTGAATTGAAAATGAATTCAAATGTAATTGTAATATTTTCCATTTCATCTTATTGTTTAAAAAGTGATGTTATTAAAATTCTAAAAATTAAAATATTATATTTATAGTAAAGTTTAATGTAATACAAAAATATATATGTAAGAGAATTCTAATAATGTTAGCGCTATCGTTCCGTTGTCACTAAAGGTATGGATGATCAATTGGCAGCAATGAAAACGAATGCAGATGGAAGTTATGAGCTAAAAGGCGGCATTGGATCAATATTTGGGATGAATGTTGTTTTGAAAATTTATCATGATTGCGATGATGGGATCAAGGTAAAATAAAAATTAATAGCAAATTACTAATATTAAGACTATCAATGATTTTTAGTTGGTTATCACATGATAAGAAGAGTATTCAAAGTTTTATTTTTCGGCATTCTCTACACTCTCTATAATAGATCATAACACATCATCCTTCAATACCATTTATCTTTCCCCGTTTAATTACGACTCTATTATCACAGCCTTATCGTATCACCATTGTATGGCCTTATCATTCGTTATCATCAACATCGTAACAAATAGTCGAGATCGAGTTTTTGAAAATCATTAATGCACATATGTACATCCAATATGAAACAAAAATGAGATAAATTTTTTAGCCTTGTCAACGGAAAGTAGTACTCGGTATCCCGGATAGTTATGTTACTCGTTCGAGTAATGTGGAACAGTGGTTTAATGCAGGAGAACTGAACATGCAATTCAAATTTCCAAATGAAGAACGAAGCTGTATCAATTAATAAAAATCACAAGTGATTATCTCATTTATCAAATATATAATCTGCATGAGTTATACCACTTATCACATGCTATGATAACTTTGAAGATTTTATCACTTTTATTCATTTAATCATTTATACCACTTATTACTTTTTTCATGATTTGTTAAGATAAAACAAAAATGCATATGGCTTAATTTATCATTTCATTTTCCTCGTTAATTACTTTGCATCTACAACAGTCTTTTTTTTCTTTAAATTTCACAAATTTTACATAACTGCCATCTTATTATCTTAATTTGAAGTTCGAAATTTGAACTTTGAATAATAATTTAAATGAAAATATCCTTATTGTTTTAAATCGTCACTCGAAAATTATAATTATTGATGTAAATTATTAATTTCATAGTTAAGTTACTTAATTTCTTATTGTTACTTATCATTTGTTCAAATTTGAAATTATTGATCTGAACTCAATATAAATCGCATAGCCAGAAAGTTTTTTTGATTTTACCTTTTTGAAATAAACAAATCTCTTATGATTAAACTTCAGTAATTCAACATTGATTTACATTGACAAAATTATAGATGAATTTTCTTGGAAATATCGCCTTAGTGAAAGTTCATGCTCATTACTCAATTCAAAATATCCTTTTTAAATGAATACACAAAGGAAAAAGAAGGAAATAGAAAGAAATGAGAAAGGTGAATTTGGCATAAGTATAAATTATACGATAACAGTAAAATATTTTTACTATTACGTACAAGCTTACACTGCAATAACAAAAGCTCATTTTATTCTATTTAATGCTAAATGAATTAGAGTCTTAATAGAAATACGGAAGTTGATCCATTAGAATATAAATTTATAGTTATTTATTTAATGACATATTAACAGATTCCAGTTTTTCGGGTCAGATGTTAGAAATTTTTAAGTGCATATTTATACAAATTTATTTAACTTTAGAAATAAATTCGAGCTCTTAACGAATGCAGCTCCATTTCGCGAGAACCTTTGAACCCCTACCATACTAGCCAACTCATCTAATTCGACCAAACCTCTCTCCCTGCACTTCATTCCTTCAGAATTACTCGGAACCTTCCTTACGATTCATAGTTTCTGTGTCGCAATGAGTCTCCACAGCAACTCTTCGGCCGTATTAATTTGAGCACATGGCAGAGCATTCGCAGGCGATCCGGTGTTTTCCTATGGGCTTTGACTTGTTCGGTTGTTGGGTGCAGCGAGGGTTTGTTTAGGAATTGAGGTTGGAATTATCCTATTCTGCGGATGGTTCTATTTATGCTAAATGAGTCGATAAGAATGCGAAGCATTGGTTGCATTAAAAAATATAAATTTGTAGTCATTTACTTAAAGGCATATTAACAAGTTCTAGATTTTACGGATCAGGGTTAGAAAAGTTTTAAGTGCATGTTTACATTTATTTATTTATCTTATGAATCATCATGCAAATGTACGCAGATTGCAGGAATGACGGGTTTTGAACAATATTCACTTTAAAATTCCGCTTTTAATTTTGATAAGCTTTTTAATTGCAGTTTATTTCGAAGGAATTCATTTATTTAGTTCCAGCAATTTCAATTAATCTTCGAATTAGATTATTAATTGTTAATTTTCGGTTGGTTTTTGATTCAACTTTAGTAATGTTTAAATGTATTTGTCGATTTCAAGTACTTTTTGAATTCATTTTTTCTTTAATTTCATTCAGTTTTGAAGCAAACTTTCCTAGACAATTTCCAAGATTGATTTGACGGCCATAATGGATTTACCATTTTAAATTAATTTTTAAACTAGCTGATTTTTCATTTATCGGACAAAAGGCAAAAATAATGATGACCAATATGTCTTTGTCTTTTGTCTGTCTGTAAGGTTAGCGCAAGTCTTTTTTGATTGTTTGACAAAGTTTTTTTCAGGTTTTGGCGTAAAGTCATAGAATAGTATTACATGTGAAGACGATAATGGCAGCTTTCAGTAAACTTGCAAAGCAGTGGCTTTGTACCACACGATTAACTGGTAAGTTTCACATAATTTGTTCTAATTAATATATCGTTGTGGTATTAAATTGTTTGCAAGTATTTATGTATGTTTTTTATATTTAAAGCATACTTTATACATATAAATTATCTTTATATA